GAAGCAGATCTCATCTGGATAACCGTCACAAATCAACAGACACTGGGAAACTTTTTCATTTAACTTGAGGATACTTAGCGGTGAATTTTACAAACCCAACCTAAGACTGTCAGATCTTGTAATGACAATACTGTCATATATTTATATCATACTTCCATTTTTTTTAACTATATGGTTAAACGTCCTGTTCATGGAGAGATCATAAGTAGGTTAAGTCCCAAAGTGAACAAAATGTGCATCTCGGATTTTGCCGTTAGTCACTATCTACTAAGTAAAAAACAATCCCCTTTGATTCTTAGTAATTATCCAAGCAACGAAAGCTGATGATAAAATCTGCATATGAATGAAAATCATAATTATTTTTTTATTTAATACCGTGATTACTTATAAGTATTAAGCTGATGAAAACATGCATATTCTACACTGAAAGCTTAAAATAAAATTTTGAAAATTAATGCTTTATGAAGTTAGTTTTCATCGCTATTGATTTCTCCTAAAAAAGGCTTCTTTACGTCACGTTAACACTGTAGATTCTCGAGTACCACAACATCCTTCTGCATACAAACAGTGAACATGAGTCACTTACACATCTTGAAATATTTGTCCTAAGTTGTGTTCTGTTCTTGTTACAAATAAATCAGTTTATGTCGGTCCTTCTCTTGATTCAAGAGCAGTGTATTCTCCATTGAAACTTGGATTGCGTCTTTTCGCAAATTATTTGTCTTTGTTCTTATGTGAGGAGGATCAGTGCGGTCTGTAGAATTCATGCAGCATACATCCTTACAATAGCTTTCAGTTATTTTGGGTATGTGAAATGTCTAATTTTAGAAGACTAACTGGTGCCTCAGAATACTGTATGCGGTAACCGACTTGAGGATACCAGAAGACGGATTGGCAATACGAGGATCATTTATTTCTTCACCGACAATGAACCAGAACAACAGGGTTACAAAGCATTACGTCTATGAATATAAAGCACAATAATACTTTTAATTGTTCTTCTCCAGTCTTCTACCAACCAAAGTGAGGTTGGGCAACGGCTGCCATTTTTGTTTCCTGCCAAATAAAGGTCAGCTCGAACAAACAAACTAAATGTTGCCCATTCAGTGTTCGACAATACTCACAGGGTATTTATAAAACATCTGACTTTCCTTCGCGCGATGATGAATTAAACATTTTATAACATTTGAATACACTTTTAATTCATCAGAATCTTTGAGGGAAGCTTTCCACTTCAATACCAGAACCACATTCAACTCCAAGTGAAGTATTTTGAAGTCTGCGAGTACGCTCACGAACCATTTTAGACAATTCCTAATTTAGTTTAACACAATATAGTATCAAATATATATAGAACAACCTGTAAAGGAAACGACAGTCAATTATTCTCATCAATAGAGATGATATGTGCTTCAACTAGAAACCAGATGGTTGCTAATTAGATGCTTAAAATAAAAAAAAACTAAAAACCTCTCAGAATCGAGTAAGATGCTATGAACAATTGCTTCAGAAATGAACCTCTACTGAAATCTTATTTATTTACTAACTTAACTAATCAGTTATTTAGCTAGCATAAATATACGTCAAGACAAAGTATCCCGTGTGAAGGAAGATATGAATAATGAATTACTATAGGGAATACAGGTACCCAAAAAGTCAAAGTTACCAGTATATACAGAATTTGAGAAATGGGAAGGAGTAAACTGAGATTAATAACTACACGTAGTCCAGTCGGATAAGGAAACTGTTGTTGTTTGTTGTTGTTCGTTTAGGTTCCCAGTGGAACATAGGACTTCAACAACCCATTTCCACTTTATTCTATTTTCTGCTGTCCTCTTTAGCTGGACCCAGGATTGCCCACGATTTTTCATCTATCCCCTGCCACACGATCTCCTCCATATCACTATCGGACGACCCACTCTTCCTTTCCGATTCGGGCTTACCCGAGCAATGGCCTGACGCGCAGTGTCATTCGACGGTTTCCTTAACGTATGCTCAGTCTGTTTCCATTTTCTTCTGCATATCTGTTGAGCGATAGGTTCTTGGTTAGCTTGTCCCCATAGTTTCTTTTTGCTGGTTCTTTCTGGCCATCTGATCTTTAGCATGCAGCCAGGGAAGGCAGCTGCTGGTAAAATTCTGAATCGGTCTGTTTGAAATACTTTGCATGACGCGCCAAGTTTCTGACCCATTTAGAAGAACTGACTTAACCTTTGTATTGAGTATCCGAATCTTGGTCTTCATGCTGAGTGCAATAGTTCTCTTATCTGATTGGATATGAAAACCACTGATTTTATATTATGACTGCAGTACATTACTTTCCCTTCACACACACGCACCGCCAAAGCAGAAGGTTATGTGCAAGCTTTCCATGTTACCATCCAGCGGTTCTAGGTGTTCAACTTTCTTTATTCAAACATTGTTTTTTTTTGTATTATAAACGTAATACTTAGAAAATGTAGTGCAAGATTACAGTTATTTGGCAAATTATGCACAGTTTATACTGTAAGCATTACAGTGAGTATTTTTCCACCCTCATAGACTCGTATTGTATCTCTAAATTTTCTGCGGAAATTATCTCATCTTTTACATTTCTTCTGGAACATACCACTGAAATTAGTAAAGATCAAGAAGCCCAACACACCTGTATAATCCCACTTTGAGTTTCTTCAGTTAGGCATACCTACAACTTTGAGAGATCCAAAGCCAGTTATAATTGGGTTACGAGATAAAATGTTACCACTGAACTACTAAATCAGATTCTAATGACTTATAATTTGCGAATTCTGCGCCAGTAATCACTCACCAGTCATTGACAAGTGAATGTTCTCATACTTAACTCAAGGTCCACTAATGAATTACTTGAAATCTTGAAGCTAATCATTAATTAGCAAATGACTAATACTGTGTTTGTGTCAATAAACTATGTTAAATGAGGAACTGCTACTATTACTGCTGAAAGTTTCAACATTAAACCTCAAGTTACAGTGACGAATACCACAACTCATCCAGGATGAAACATCTGTCCTAGGTTCCACTGTCATCCACTATCAATCAAATAATTCCAAATAGAATTCTTGTAGGATATCTGTCCAACAGTTTGACAACAAAATCCGGAACTCAATTGTAAATGAAGTACACACTGTATGCACTATGTAGAGTATCGTAATAGAAGGCGATTAAACCTCTCCATCTACTCTCGCTCTTCCCATGTATATTAGTTATCAAGTGAATTTTCGTAGGTTACAGAAATTACAGATACTTCAGATAAAATAGAAATCTATTTAACCCATACTCTTTAAGTATGTCAATGGTTCAAGAATAGAATGTTCACCAGATATGCATTTGGCCTGGGGACGATTATCGGCTGACTGATCCACTCCTAAAGCTCGCTTAACCGATAGTCAGCCACACGGAAAAGAAGTGAGGTTTGGCATGAGGCTACCAATCCACCACTCAGTAAAAATAAATACAGACACCGCTGTAAATTTATAGCTTAAAGTTCGAAGCCCTATGTCCCACTAAGAAATCGAAGGAATGCTAGAAAATACAAAAATGTAATCATATAACCAATCAATCAAATCCCTACAAACCAATAATTAAATATCAATGAGATGCTCACTGGCGACTGGCCCTATTCAGGTAGGTAGTTACCTGGGGTTCTAGTGAAAAGTCGTGACGAGTAGGGTGCAGCAGGTCGGGTGTGAGGACAAATACTCGCCGAAGACATTGGCTAGCGGTTGCGTTACGTCGTGAATTGGCAGAAGTTAGAATTCATGGACTGGCCATTGGATCGGGTCCCAGTGGCTTAATGGTCTACGAGCTCGCTAGCCTTGTAACCAGAAGGTGCTGGGTTCGAACCATTGCGGTGGGTGCGTACTGATGAAGGGTCCCAAACTAGGCTAAAGAAACAGCTGTCCAGTACTCCCAGGTTTTTCAATGGTTCTCTAACTAATGTCAGCTCATGATGAAATCCTGTAACCATTGTATTCATCTGTTCTCGTCCCTTGTAAGAAATTAAAACTTGATATTAGTGTATAATAATTATTCTACTATTACTATTATTATTGTTATTCGCTGAACAATTTCTTTAGTGAAATGAGATATCTTTTATGAATACAAGTTAAAAGTGTACAGGCTTATATATATAAGCAATGGGGGGGGAGAAAATGGCAAACATAGGCGGACAAGGAATACAAGGGATAAATGTGCATACTCATATTTGCATACATCTGTGCAACCGTTTTTTATGATGTTGACGTAATATTGTAAATGAAACTGGTGAGTGCATGTCAACACTGTTTTAATTATCGCAACAGTAATGGTGATTAGAATAATTATAATAACAATAGAAAAAAAGCACCGTTAAAATTAATAGGAATACTGCGAATATGAGGAGGTTTGTTAGTGCCATTGGAATACAGCTATTTAGTAACTTTTTGTAATTCATGCGTAGAAAGCAAATATTGATGTGTCCAGCTGTGGTTCCAATGAAATAAAGGTAGATAAAACATGAGCTCTATGGCTTTATGCAGCTCTAACTTTGTCACCTTCAGCGTTTATACAGTTTATGTATAACTCCAAAGAAGATTTGGACGATGACCAGAGGAAGGATAAAGTGTTAGCTAATATAGTTTTTCTTTTTATATACGTATATACAAATGTAATGATAATGGTAATAATGATTACAGCAATAACAATATATAAGTAACTCCTTGATCTGAGAGAAATATACTAAAATTAAAGTTTAAAAACAGAAAAAAAATACTAACAAGAAGTAGAAATTTGTGCGTTTAATCAGATGATCCAATGAAATAGCGTTTTAGGAGGGACAGTAGGAGTAGGAGAAAAGATGGAGAGGAACAGGGGGGTAATAACGGAGACTAGACTTTTCTGTGTCTAAATAAAACGCTACTCAAAGTTTACTCTCTTTATTTCCTTTTTTTAAAAAACTGTTGTTCTTTTCTTTCTGGAAGAATGTGGCTAGGCAAATCTAAATGTCTTCAGACATAACTTGTTCTTCCAAGTTTACAAAGGGTTAATTTAAGGCTTTTTGCTGAATCTGCCATGGTAGCAGATGTTGTCACTGGTGATATTGACAAAGACATTGATGATGGTGATGTTGTCAGTCTGGATGGTGTTAACTCTTGATGTTCTTTATCATAAGACGTTGAAGGAGAACGATAATGCGATGGTGCATAGTTTAACTCATTGGTTATTTCATGATTTTGGTGATGATTTTTCACAATTCTCATTGGTGAGGAAGTGGCTGCAACTTCTCCTGTATTTGAATGTTCCTTTCGTCGGTCATTGTGATGATGGTGGCTTCGTCTTTTATGACTGAATGATTCACTGTCTGCTAATGGAGAAGATGAAGAAGGCGATGATGATGTTGATGACATTGGTGAATGATGTGAAATATGTGAATCAGATGCATAATGCTCACTAAGCGGTGAATGTACTGAATCCACCCTAACTGCTGTAGACATTTTAGGCGAATTACCTAATGTACACAAATCTTCAATATCTGGTTCAGCGGACGCTGGAGAGAAACAAGCATGTGAACTCAACTTTTCAACATTTTCATTGGTTTCTCCCTCCTCTTTTTCTATGGCTACTGATGTTTCCTCCTCATTGCCACGAGCTTCTTCTTCTTCAGGGTCCATCAGGGGAGCCTTGCATGGTATTAAATTTGTTTTATAAAAGGGTTCATGTTCAAACTGTTGTAGTGAATGTGGAAAACTACTATTACTGTTATTCTCTTTTGTCAACATTAAGTTGGAATTATTTTGGGCGTTAGCGTCCATAAGTTTATGTTTCAAGGACTGTTGAAATAAACTTGAATTTACACTTTGCATAACATCTGGAAATGCAATAGATGGATTAAATAATGACTTATATACTGGTAGACTACCGCCGGTTGCCAGTGATGTCGAACTGTCATTTGGTGTTGCCGTTGTTGCTGATGGAGTTGGTGGGAAGAGGAAAGGGAAGAAGTTGAGTAAATTCGGTGGGATAAAATCTGCACTGCAATTTGAACGACTGGAATTATTAAAATAATTGTATGGTGTTTGTGCTGCATGATTATCTCGATAACCAGGTGGATTCGACATAATTTGACTAGAAGTTTCTACTGTGGAGTTTTCAGAATCTTTAGGCTGACTTATCAGCGAATTTGATGTATGCGTTTGATTAATAGAGTTAGAATTCAATGCAGACGTCTGAATTGGTTCTTTTGATGGTTTCAGTCCAAGCAGGCGTGGTATTCGAGATAAAAGCTGTGATCCAGCTGCATTTGTTTTAAACCAACTACAGCCATTCTCCCAACTTGGATCTGGGCATAAATAAAACGGTTCAGAGACACCACGAGCCTCTAGCGGTCGTAAATTTGCATAGATTTCAAATAATTCAACACAGTTGAATGGAAGGGGTTGACGTTTTGCACTGCCTGTGCAACTAAGAGGTTGAGCTTTAGCCATAGGATCATGATTAGCTGCTCCACCACGTGTACCTCCATATCCTCGACAATAACGTACTTCAGATGATTCAAACAGAGGTGTGAATTTAATCACTTTAATTCCATTCTCATCTGTCACCAACTGGAATTGTCCCCAAACAAGATTACGATGTCTTTGTGTACCACCAATATTGAATTGTGTTCGGTTCATAAGCCACAAACTATTCAGTATTGCCTAAAAATATGAATATAATAAACACTCTTTTAGTTGAAAAGTCTTCCGAAGGTGACATTATTTATAAGTCATCAAATCGAATAGTATTCAGTCCAGTCTCCTCGAATTCTTATAGTGTATAGACAGATTTTCAGTGTGATTATCAAGCCATAAAAGTGGCTGCTACGATGCATTTTACTTGTCTTGGTTAATTAAGGATAATATATGAAAAACAACAAGATATATTGGGTCCTCTCCCGAAGGTTTCAACAAAATTCAATGTCCGAGAGTTTGTTTGTAGGGATTTGATTTGTTTCAAGTTTGGCTGCGGTCTGATATCAGTTAGAGAACCATCAACAATCAGCAGGGACTACTGGACTGATTTTAATCCGTGGTCAAACTTGGAACAAATCAAATCCCTACTGCCTACGAGTCCCAAATTAGGACGAAATAGCTGTCCAATACTCTTTGGTTTTCAATAGTTATCTAACTGATACAGATGTTAAAATCGGGGAGATTACCAATCAGCTTTTATAACCTTAAATGGTCTCTCGCAGCACAGAATCAAATGGATCAGTGTACATTTCGTCACGAAACAACATCGGTTAGATAATCATTAAAAATCGAAAGTAAAAGCGAATAATTTTACATTTGAGTAAACGCCCCTTCAAAAGTTCGCATCAAAACTCCAGTAAGATAGCTATTTTGTCATGATTTGGACTGCTGATGAAACGTAGACTGGGTCGAAGACACTGTCTATAACCCATTTGTTTTCAGTGGTCCTATGATTGAAATCCCTTTTGAGATGAGAGGCTACCGGGGGACAGTACAAAGATGCTGAACGCTCAGTTACAAAATCTCTTTAACTCTGTATAAATAAAATATGATCTCCATGCAACCACTTTTATTAAAAAATGTGAAAGCATACATAGAAAAGTATTTGATACAAGCACACATTTATGCAAACATATTAAGCCGACTTATGCTTTATAAATCCTCGCAATTAGTTAAGTTCGACAGCAAGGAGGGGAAACAAAGATTCTGTGTTTATCTAAAGATATTATGCACTTATATATATTCAGTGAATTAATTAACTCTGTTTTAATTCAAAGTAATAACTTCAAGTTTCAGATTACGTTACATTTGTATACAGCTGGATATCAAATTTTTGGGCTAAAAATTAGACAAACTGTCTGTTGCAACATTAAAGATATTTATATAGATATATATTTCACCTTACTTTAGATACAGTATTTATTGTTTTTGCATAAAGGAATGACTGGCATAATTAAGTAAGAAAGATAATTGTTAGTGGAGTGATGATGTCACTTACTGTTAGGTCTCTTGCTTAGATGGTAGGAGGTTGATCTAACACCCTAGTGGCCTATGGTTCAAATTCTACCGTCATCCAGATGTTCATTTCATGTTCACTTATCATCCATTAACCATTCAATCTAGGGCTTTCCATGGCTATATGATCTCGCTTGTTTAGTGAAGGTACTGCTCAGTGGAGAGGTAAATGACTTGACAGAATATGTACTGTCTGCAGATGGATATTTAGTGGATCACTAGTCCTCAGGACAGAAGTCATGTGAATAAATGTACAGTATTTAGTATTGTTTTTTTTATATTTGTATTAAAGATAGCTAAGATGTACTCTTTTTATTCTGATCATTAGGAACCTAACAGCCTGCTCGTCTTGTAAAGTAACTCCAAGTCAGTAAGTGACTGACAGTACAACTGGTCCTTTTACCTTTCAAGACTTCGAGCATTAGCTCTAAGGTTTCAGAGTTATTCTAGAATGAGTACAACCCATCTGTTTTTATCTCAGTCCTGCCTTACGGTGAAATAGACCCTACTTCCTCTCTTCATATAATCAGCAAATCAACAAATATGAAAGTAATGCAGAGGAGTTTTAGCTCTGGTGAATTTTGTTTTCGATATTGCCGTGCTTCCTCAGGTGGACATCTTCAACAGTGATTTCAATGTGAAGTCAGAACTGCAAATGTGAATGTTCAACTCTTATCACTCGATTAGGAGAGTACAAATACTAACTAACTAAGTCGTAAGACACTTGATTTAAAACCTGTGACATTATAAATACTTTAGAATCCAAGAATAACCAGTGATACACCGATTCATATTCATACATAAAAGTCATAAGAATTTAACAATCGCAGTCAGTCATCTAGCTTATAGATTCGAAACTATCCATGCAATGCTCAAGAAGTGGTTACTTCATTATGGACGTAATTGTAGCACCTCACCTTTCATTTGAATGATGCTAAAATCAAGTATTTCTCCTTTAAAACTGAAATTACAAGCTCATATCCTATCATATCATACAGACATACACGGTCGCATTTGAAGATATTTTAATCACTGTCATGGAATGATTGATGACTGAACCCATATTTACTTCCTTTTATTACTTACTTGAGGATTTTCAGTGCCAAGAACACCTGCTTGTAGAAGATCAGCCGAAGTAAATCCATTTGTATTTGAATTATTTTTTCTAGAATAACTTGTTGGTCTACCATTCATAGTTATATCATCACCTGATCCTGAAGTTCGTTTATTCCCCCTGTAATTGTGCTTCCGTAGACACCATTCGTTGGAACACCAGAACGACTAAGTGCACGTAATTCATTTAAACGTTGATTAAGCACAGCTCGTGTTCCAGCAAATGCATTGCCTTTTAGAACTGAATGTGAATAATCATGATGCTAAATAAATAAATAGAATAAGAAACAAGGTTAAATAATGAGTAACTGTAGTATCTATGTATATAAAATACTTTTCAAGTATTAGTTTATGGGGATTTGATAGATTTAAAGTTTGATCATAGATTGATATCGGTCAAAAATTCATTAAAAACTAACAAGGAGTAAAGCACATTTTTCCTCCTTTCCATTTGAAACCTTTCAGTAGTACATTTCTATGATCCCCAGACCTTCAGGTTACGTGGCGAGCTCGTCGGTGTCCCAACCACCAGAACGGAATCCGGTAGCCTATCAGTTCGGACTTCTGTTGGCTCTCGATCTTCAGCGAAACCATCAGCCACTGTCATCGGTGAGTATCTGCCGTCACACTCTATTTAGTGAACTCCACCGGTCATGAAACCTCATTGGAATTCCAGGCAACTTTGTTCTGTATTCAGTTACGAGTAGGCACTAGATCGATTTTTAAGTGTTGGTTCCCAAGGATTTGATTGATTTCAAGTTTGTTCAAGGATCGATATGAGTTAAAGAACCACTGAAAACCAGAGTGTATTGGTAATCTTCAACAGCACTAAGAATCCCAAGCTAGGATGAAAAAGCTGTCCAGTAATCCCTAGTTTTCAATGGTTCTCTAACCGATGTCAATCCATGATCAAACCTGACCAGTGAAATACTGACAAATTTAAGACACTTCGGGTTTGTATGGTCTAACTGGAAGTCTACACTCACGATAACTCACGGTATACTAATGTAGTATTTAAGTAAGGGGTATATAGAATATAAGTAGTATAATTATCAAAGGATAAGTTACTTCACATTCATTTGTTGGTTTAAAACTACTTCAGCTAATTAACAAATGCATATCACACATAAAAAGTTACTATGACTACTCAGTGTTATCATCTACGTAATATGATCATATTGAAATGTATCGAAAAATTATTTTTATCATTTTCTTTTTTCTTTTTTTATGTATATTATCAAAACTGACGGAAAGTATAAACAACACAGATAAGAGAAAATATTTTTGTTCTTGATAAATAGAATATTTGCGCTAAGAAAACTTCTCTTTTAATAACAATTTGTTTGCACACTTAAATGTGTGTGTGTGTGTGCAAATGCGGAGGCGGGTGGTGGTGCAGGCGGGGGGGGGGGGGGTAAACACAGGTAAATTGTCTACTAGAATAACAAACACAATCAATGTAACTAGATAATATTCATATTGAGTATTCGATGTATCAATTGTTGATTTATCATATTTTATAAATGCATCGCTTATAGACATTAAAAATGAACAATTCCACTGAATATCTGAAATATTCTCCTGTGAAAGGCTTATTGTATAAGGAACACAGTCTCACATCGATCGATAAGTCATTCATTGGCTATCTATTGACGATTTTGAACTACCCTTAGTTGAAGATATGCTGTGTGTGTGTTCAGTATTCAATGTTTAATCCTGTCAAGGTCATACTGTTGTATAGAAGTGAAAATTTATTATCTCTGTAAAAGAGAAACGATTCGGAATGTATCTACTGATATCAGTTTGATGAGGAGCAGCTATCACTCAGCTCAATTCATATAAGTCCGCTTAAGCCTTATCGGTTAAACAGTTAGTCCTTTGCACTGAAGTACATCACGTTAACACAGATATTTGAGGATGTCTTCAGCATCCTTTATAATATGATAATCGGCCATAGTTTCTGAGTTTAATTTTAACTCATGGCTTGTTGAAAAGCAAAAAAACCTTTTTTTTACACTGCATTTTGTATTGATTATTATTGGGAAAGGAGTAAGATGATTATTTCTAGGAGATGGAGAAAGAGAATTTTATTGAAAGGCTTTCAGTGACATCCAGAAGGTTAAATCTACTTACTGATCATGTTATCGAATATCTGTAGTACACTATTGGATTATGAGGGAAACGAGTATGTCCATTATTCAATTCTATTGGATTTCTCTTATTATCTAACCGTTTCTAAGGAAAAAAATTATTGAAACTAAAACATATCGAGAAATCATGTCGTCAAAAGAATATCTTGATACACGAAATAGCTCGAGGCTGGAACCTACATTAAAGAAATAGGCTAATGAACTGTTAGGAACTTTACAGTTCTTATATAAAATGGAGCTAAGTAATAATTTGATATAAACACTTGCGGGATTCGAACCAGTGACCTCCTGATTACCAGTCGAGAGGCTTGCCAGCTCATTTACAAGACCCAGGTTATCTTCCCATCATTATCGCCTTTGGTTATGACTGCCCAACCATCATGTCCCCCTAACACCACACCCATTTAGCTAGGATTAGGACTGATAGCAGACAGGAGAAGACCTAGTTTGTCAACTGGTGTGATGTCTTGCAATCCATCCGGTAGATTAAGCTGAAACAGTAACCTGGAAACCAAGACCCAGACTTTCACATCACTAAAACATCAGTGACATTATATCAAACCAAAACCACTTCAAATAGCCTCACAATAAATATCTAAAAATCTTCATAGATCACTGGGTTCTGTCCCATTCGCAGAATGGTTAACGATCTCTCCTCATAACGCGAATGTTTCAGGTCCCATCACTAGTGATGGAGTCATGGGTGCCTACCGCTGAACAATCCCAAACATAGAAGGCGAAACAGATGTTCCGTACTCCTTGCTGGTTTTCAATGAATCTCTAAATGAAGTTAGTTCGTGATCAAACCTGGCAACTAAAAATTACAATCAAAGCACCATCAATACTAGTCACTAACACTTAATTTTATTATATTTACCTATTGGCCACTTAGATATGATATCACATCTTCCTCACACACACACACACACACACACACAGAAACATTTACGTGTTTGATTTAGGCTCATAAAAACGAATTCTGTTTTCAACTATCCCAAAGGCAGGTATCATCATTACAATATCATGAATAATACACATACATATGTATGTCTCAACGCAAAGATAAATTTGATCGATGAAAAATATAACCCGAAGGAAGTATAGATTGAGGTATCAATAAACTCTGCATAAATCTGTGTAAGACTATAAGTAAAATTATGGATGTACACAATAATACTATGACTTATGATACTTACTATCATAAACATCACTTGAAGATTTATCTGAATTTCTTAAAACACTACTTATCTATCATTTGAAATTGTTATTAGTAGTATGATTATCACTATCAGCATAATAATAATACAGATCATTAAAATGAAATCATTTATTTTTGACCTGAATTTAGACTAAAACATTTGTAATGAACGAATAGAGTATACTACCTTCTAGGCGTAGTATGTATGAGTGTGTTGTGCTTGTGTACACATTTATCTGGGTATAAATTTGTGTTTATCTAACACGTGTTTGTGCTTATATATGTCGATTTTAATTTTAAAATGCATGTGTGTCTGTATATTTATATTAATTCATTTATAATCCATTCATATATATATATATATATATATAATACATGGAGGTACGCACCCACGCCTGCACGTATGCAAACGAAAGTCCTTACACAAGCATATGAGAATGTTATATCATCATCAATAATAATAATATTATTATTATTATTGTTATTACTAATATACGTAAGGTGAAAATAATAAAGGATTGAAATTTCTTATTACTGATGTTAACTTTTGTTGAAAATAATAATTATTATTATCCGTACATTTCAACATAATCATAATTATAATAAAGATATACATAACTAAAGAAAAAAACAGATTCAAACACCCAGAAATGTGGTATTATTATTATTGTTGTTGTTATAGTACACATGTGTATTATATTTCGAAAGAAAAAGTATCATAAAATATGGAGATTAATTTAATGAAGAAGTTTTGAATGAAAGAAGGAGAGGAGAAGGCGAAAAAATGCTGAGTTGCAAAACTAGAAACCACACATGAATAAATAAGTCGAAGGAAAATGGCGATTCGAAGATACTTTCATTTGTGAAAGGTAAATCGAGTGAATAGCCAATTCATATTCAGTATAAAACTTCTTCAACTATCACTAGGACAGTCGTAAATCAGATGAGGGAATGCTGTATTTCAGTAATCAATTTCATGACTTCTTCATCTGATGTCCAAGTGTGAATAAGAAGATGGATGAAGATATCACCTTAATTTAAATTTCCCGTTGATTAGTTATTGTTGGACAGAAATCCTCGATCTCTGTTGACGATTTCGGTTCTTGGTGCGAACGCTTCAACAATGTCTGAAGATTATGATATTATTTTGGTTGACTGATGGTGACTACCAGCATAGTCCATAGTAATTTGGAACTTAAGTAGCTGAACGTGCCTACCTTCCAAGTGAGTGACAATGTTCCCACAGCTGGACAATAAATGCCTATCGTGGCCATCGCGGCCTAGTGGACAATCCTTTGGTTTTTGAAACAATGAGTGAAGGACTTGAGTTTTAGAGGAAATGCCGTCAATCACTGGGAATGCAGACACATCCAGCTGACGAGTCCCACATAGAACGAAATGCTCATCCTAGATTGCACTGTTTATCACCATCAAGGAGACGTTGAAACTATTTCAGTTTACGCCTAGCCAACTAATTTATATGTTACCATGAAGCTATGTGTTACAATATGAGGTCATAAATGAATGTTGTTTGCTGAAAACCAATTGTCAACAGTTGTAAATAAAGGCTTCCACATCAAGTGAGTTTACTGGGTTTGATTCCAATAGAAGTCATGAGCAAATACTATTGAAGAGTCCCAAATTGGGACGAGACAAACGTCTAATGCTCTTTTATTTTCAATGATTCTATTCCTGATGTTGACTGGTGAAGAAATCTATTCTAAAATTAGTAGAATTTCTAAAATGTCAAAGTTTCGAGATGATTTTTCAGTGAAATTCACTTTTCTATTAAACACTTTGACGCAATTTATGTGTTGTTACAATTTATTCATTCATTTTGAAGTTAGCGCTGAAAATTTTATCTGGGAAGATAATTAACACTTCACAATTAAATCATCGAACACAACAGTCTATATTATTTTTGGATGCCCAATTTTTAAATGTATGAACCAGGCCAACTCACCTTAAGATGACGTTCTAAGGAATGAACGAAAGCCTTCAATGATTCTGGTTCATATTCATGTCCATCTTTCTTTTTTGCAGTGAGTACAAAATCCTGTTCAATGATGAAAGAAAAGAAATTATTATTGTCAACACATTTAATTCTACTACTAATATCATTATTGAGAATAATATGACCAATATTTAGTATCAGTATAAGTGACTTAATTAGCCACACACTTGAGAAATCAATACTTCGTGTTGTTCAGTCCTGAACTGAAATCGGATCATATTTACGGAGTGTAAGCACTGATTCGTGTGGTGCGAATCCCATTAGCTTTAAGGCGAATAGGATAAATGATGACTCAAGTGCTAAAAATCTATTGGCGGCCTATTACAAACTGTGGTCTTCATACTAAAGATACAGTGAACCAATCATTGTAAAGGACAAAGTATGCATTGCTCGTTCAATTATAGTGATTATTATTACTATTGTTCCCTTAGGTTCCGAGTGGAACATAGGGCTTCAACAACAATCTCCACTCTGTTACATTTTCTACCGTCCTCTTCAGCTAGGTCCACGATTACCCATAACCTCTCATCTCCTCCTCGCCATACGATATTCTCCATGCCACCCAAGGATGACCCACTCGTCCGCAGCTTCCTATTCGGATTCCACTCGAGACATGGCCTGGAACATGACGTCATTCGATGGCCTCCTCAATGTATGCCCGATCCATCTCCATTTTCTCCTACATATTTAATAAGCGATCGGCTCTCGGTTGATTTAGTCCCACAGTTTCTCGTTACTAATTCTTTCTGGCTGGCCGGCCATTCGATCTTCAGTATAGAGCCAATGAAGATAGCAGCTGTTGACAAAAGTCTGCAACAGGCTGTTGGAAATACTGTTCGCGACAATCAGTGCAAGTTTCTGACCCGTATAGAAGCAATGACCGACTTGACATTGGTGTTGAATAGAGTCCGAACCTTGTATCTTATGCTAGATGAGTGCAGAAGATTTCTAAACCAATTTCAGGTTGATGAAGGTGCACCTTGCCTTTCCGATTCTGGCTGACTGGCTTTGATATCTTCATCTGTTCCGCCAGTAGTGGAAATGATGCTGGCTGCCTAGCCGGATAAGGGAAGGAGGTAACCTCTCTCAAATCTCTCCCATTGATAGTGATTGGTGTTGTTTTTTGTTGTTGCTGTTGGTTGGTTGGTTGATTATCTTCATCACCTCTGTCTCCACCATCTCTATGTTCACCTGGAGTCCTGTCTTCGCCACCTGCTCACGTCTTCAATCAGTTTGTTGCTTTTCGTCTGTAAATCTTCGAGTTTGCGTGACACTGAACGTATATCATCTGAGAAATCCAGATCTTCTAGAGTCTTATTATCGGTGGTCCAGCGTACTCCTGCCTCCTCGCTCCCAACTCACAGTCTGGCGTATAATCCAGTCCACCACAATTAAGAATATCATCAATGATAATAGACAGTCAGCCCTGTCTTACTCCTATATGCACTTCGAACGCCTCGCTGATTTTTCATGGTGGATAACCTGACATGTGCCATTGTCATATATCTGCTGAATGAGGTTGATAAATAATTGAGGTACACCGCTGTGTTGAAGTAGTTTCCAAATTACGTCTTGGTCAACGCTGTACTATCGAAAGCCTTTTCGAAGTCGATGAAGTTGAGGTAGAGAGGTTTGACTGCCATTCTATGCTCTGTTCTGTTATGATGATGATGATGATGCGTAGAGTTGTAATTTGATCAGAGCATGACTTGCCTTTCCTGAATCCAGCTTGTTCCGTGCTGGCGGCGTTCTGTATCTAATGCATCTTTTATTCTCTCCAGGATGATGCGATTAAGTATTTTACTTGACGTTGACAAGAGCATTATTCCATGCCAGTTCTTGCACAGGCCAAAGTCGCCCTTCTTCTCAGCTTGACAAGGTAACCAGCCTTTCTTCCAATTGGTAAGTACTTTTCCCTCCTTCCAAACCTTTTGCAATAATGGTCTGAGCACATCTATTACATTCTGCGTCCGTTTTCAGTGCCTCGAGGGAATTCCGTCTAGTCCTGCTTCCTTCCTGGTCGGTGCTCAGTAAGTAACTTGATAGCATTTAGGATTTCTGCTTTCGTTTGAGGATTGGTGTCCACTGGCAGGTAGTTCTGTGCGTGCTGTTGATGGCGGTGTATTTCTGGGTGCGTCGCAGGCGGTGGTCGACTCAAGAGTCCTTTAAAGTGATCAGCCCACTCATTGTTTTATTTGTTTCTCCTCCTTCTTAATCACGTTCCCTTGAACATCTTTTATTGGTTTCATCATATGGATTGATCTCTTCCCAGATAGAGATAGAGACCTGGTTATCTGATACAATGTCCTGAGATCTCGCTTACCTGCACCCTACCTGTTCTGCTTCATTTGCCGGTTAGTGTATCGTAGAATTGTTGTTTGTCTTTCCTATCACTCTTCTTCACTTCTTCTTCTTCTTCTTTATTCAGTGCAGTGTACACTGAACTCAGCTTCTCCTTCTCTTCTATTGTCTATCTGTGCACTGAGTCATCTTCTCTTTCACCATCCTCCTCTCCTCTACTCGATTAGCTTCCAGGTAGGTGTCCATTGAGAGCCAGCCATACCTTGTCTTCTCTCTTCTTTCTTCCCAGAACACTTGTACACGTTTCCTCGAATATCAGCTGCCATCAGAGAGTTCCAATGTTCCTCCACGCAGGTTTCCTCGGTGACAACACACAGTGTCTCCGATTTTGCTCTGATCTGATCTGTAGTTTTGTCCTTCAGTTTCTGAGTGCCGAGCTTGAATTGTGGCCTGTCTCCAGTTGTTTCGACGGATTTCAACTTCATCTTGATGGTTCCTTGAACTAGCTAGATGATGGTCTGAGCTCACATCTGCTCCCATTCTCAACTTTGTGTCCATCAGGCTGTCTGCGTCTCCACTTCCTATAGCAGCGTTGAAATGAAATCTATCTTGTTTGTAGTGTTTCTATCAGGAGAATTCCATGTTGCTTTGTGTATATCCTTGTGTTTGTACACGCTCCCTCCAATCACCAAATCATTGGAAGCGCGGAATTCTGCGAATAATTCTCCGTTCTCATTCATTTCTCTGAGCAAAAGCCTCTCGACCTATGATGCGTTCTCTTCCTGTATTATCTCCCCCCAGTTTGGCCTCCATTCATATCGCCCATGAGGAAGTTTTTGTCACCGATAGGAATGTTGTCGATTGACGTTTGTAGTTGTCTGCAAAAATCTTCCTTCTTCTCTTGTTCCGAGTTGTTTGTAGCACTGTGTGTAGCATTGCATGATAATTGTAACATTCCTTCCTTTCTTCCTTTTGAGTTGAATCTTGCTGTCATGATCCTAGATGAGGGGATTGGTTCCCACTGTATTAGGGCTCTGGCTGCCGCTGGTCACATCATTATAGTCACACCGTCCCTCAATGTGCTCGTAATTGTCGTCTGAGTGACCAGACCGGAGTAGATTACTGACTCTCCAGTTGACAAATCTGATAGTCCACATCCATTCCATCTGCCCTCGTAGATACCCAGCACTTCTAGGCCATATCTACTCATTTCTTTGACTACCTGGCCGGCCTTCCCCGCCTAACGTCGTACACTGTACGGACATTCCACGTCCCCATTCTTATTCTTGCTTTCATCGAGAGGAGACACATCGGCTGACTGGGTTCCCAGAGTCTTTCACCGCGTCATTTCGCCTTTCCGATTCGAGCGAATAATAAGATTGTTGTTATTTGAAGTTCTTGCATTGTTAATATATTTTCCGTTTGTTAAAGTTTCTCAACCGGTTTGATAGGTTTACTGGTGTGATGTCGAGGATGTTGTTGGTTGAATTCGTAAGAACCCTTCAGATTGTAGCTAATAGTTACCGGTCTAAAAATTTTCTACTCTACAAATTGAAATGTCCAACACAACAACTGATTGAACTGTTACTTGCACTCTAATTGATACATGTTTTGCTCTTGACTGTTATGTCAAAATAATGATATCACTATGCATTAGTATTATCTCAATAACCAAGCTAATCAGTTCAATTCTGTTTTGCTCAAATAGAAAAGTGGAATGACTACTGACTATTTATTAGGAAGAAAATGAGGCATTTATGATTGACTTCAACTTTTCTACCTCGATCCAGCATTTTCCATTCACTCCAGATGATAACTCCCAACATGCCATACTGATGAGATAAAGGATATGTAAATACTCTCGTGTTCCGGCATTCTTAAATCATGATTGGATTCTTTCAATGAAGTTTATAGAATGGCTATTATTTAAAATACCCCTCAGAAGTAAGTTTGTTTAATGGTGATTAGTAATGTAATCCAAGATGTGCATCTTTTCTTATTTGGGACTTGACAAATGGTTGTATTCGCATTCCCACTGAGACTCTAACCCAACACCCACCGTTTAAACCCTTGAATTGTTATGTACTAGGCCATTAGGGCTATAAGAGCCACCTTCTGCAAAAGGAATAACCTTTCACAAGTGTCTACTTGGTAGTTGACAGATATTCTTGCTTGATGTAACTTTCTGGCAGACTGACATCATCAATTCTACTCCAGTATTAGATGATACAGCACTAATAAGGTGAATTTGAAATTTTATGAAAAAAGGCCTATTCTCTCCAAAATCCAATTTGCCTCTCTTAGTCAATCATGGATTATTAATAATTCACTTTAATTCAATATAAATCACTTGTAATATTATCTGTCCATTGAAATACGAATTGTATACACACAGTTTTTTGTCTCTAAAACTAAACAAACAAATAAACAGTTACCTGAGTGACCTTACCTTGATATGTTATGTATATATATATATATATATATATATATATATATATATATATATAAACATTATCTAAATTCAATTCCGGTGTTCAATGGTGTCAGTTATTGCTCCAATGTCTTAACTAACTGGCCGACTAACTCTACTGACTGAGAAAACTAAAATTCCAGTAATTACCTACTTTTATTTCTAAAATACTGAATTACACAATGACAGTTTTTTCTAAAAATACGTAAATACGACTTTTTTGTAATGATAACCCGAAAAACTGAAAAAAAATTTCATAATGGCAGCTAGCTGACAAACATCAGTTATTGTTTAGTTTTTACTATAACTAGAAATAATATTCTGTGTTTGTGTCTGTGTTAAGATAAAATTATCGAATGTTTCGACCGTCAGCCTTTCTACAAGGTATTTTACGCTATACATCATTCATAATACAGTTCGATTGAAAATCTGGAATTTCCGAGTGAATCGGTTTTTGTTATAATTTGCGACTGTTTGTTTGAGACCAGACCCAAAAACGTCAGGTATGTTGTTTTTCAGCAGTTCAATGATCTTCATTAACCAACTTTTTAAATTTCAAATGAGATCCCCGAATTGTAATCAGGAAGTAGTGTACAGTTGTTTCTTTCCACTTTGGGACTATTCCCAAGTACCCACCCATGCTCCCAACGGAAATCGAACCTAGGGCATACAGATTTCGAGGAGAATCCGTCCATTATTCGGCCATTAAGATGGAATCTAGTGGTCCATGTATTCTAAGTCCTACCGATTCTTGATATATATAGTAGCAGTGCCGATCACTGTCACCTAAAAATATCTACTCTTGTAAATCCCTTTACTTACACACTAATCAAATAAGTCAAACACTTCATGGTATTCCTGTCAAGAATATTTGATTAGTCTTCTAGTTTGGTGAAGAAGATGAAATTAAATCAGTTTTTATTCCTCTTCTCATACCCACAAATTTACATCAACATTTACTAATGCTATGGACACTTTAGAAGACCTTTGTTAAAAAACTCTGCTTCATCAAGGTTCCATCTCAATTTACACTTGAAAATATCCATGTCCTCATTATGGTTTGAACATACTTTACACAGTGCCAAAAATTTGATGATTTTATCATTTAAATAACTAACAATTAGTAACACGCAAGGAGAATTCGATGGATTCTCTCGTACCATTTTTAACCAATACAAAAGTGAACAATATCAACTAAGTGTACAGTAGTCTTTCAACACTTAACTTAATGATGATATATGGTGTACCGAATCGACAGAGTTAGATTACGCAGGTTGATACTAATATTCACTTCTAATACATACTGATATGTTATGATCTATAATTAGACAGATGAAGAAAACTGATGACAATATTCCAAGCTCTATACAAGATCTAGCCTAGGATTTTCAGATCTCGTAACTACAAGGTTGTGATATATATGTATGTCAATCTTGAGTGGCATCATTTCAACTACAGGCGTCACCCTTGAACAAGATAGACCTCTATTATTATTCTTTAATCCATGTGGAAATCTGCTGAATTCAGCATAAAGAATACAAATTTCAGGTCAGTACTTCCCTATGCTTCAGAGAAATGGCACGCGCGCCACCAAAAGCATCTCCAGCAGGGTGCTGCAGACTTCAGTAAGCAACTGCCTTTGCTGACTCCATACTGAAGATCAGATAGCTGGTCGCAAAGTAAAAACAGCAAGACACTCCGGCTAGGAACTAGCCAAGAACCAATCGTTCAACAAATATACCGAAGCAAATTAAAATAGTTTGGATACACAGTGTGGAGGCCATTGAATTTTATCACGTGCCAAACTTAAAGTAATACGTTCTGGTTGTAATTCTTACAATAAACAATTAAAAGAACTGTGATGAATGCAATATAAATTTCTCACCGAAATGTACAAGGTTCATTTTTATTTCTCATTGTACATATGACATAATAATAATAAGTTAAACCGGCCGAACTCACTTGTATGTATCTGTCTAATTCATGACTAGGTATTTGATGTATTTCACGTGTATCATGTTTCACTTGAATTAAATATCTATGAATCACTTTCATATCTGAACGAGTTTTTCTTAGTGTATTATGTACAGCACCATTAACATGTATTGAACTAGGCTGTAATTCTGGTGTAGAACACGACAAATTGCTGTTGCTGTTATTATTATTACTATGAGTTGAATCAACTGATGGATTATACGTGCTATTATTATTATTATTACTAGTAGTAGTGAGTTTGACTGGATTGTCTTCAATATCATCAGATGATGAATTTCTCATGTGTTCATTTTCACCTGTCGTTATCATACTGTCTAAACATTCATCACAATCATCGGCATCAACATTATCTCGATCAGCATCCAATTTTTTGTTGAGTGTAGACGAATTAGGTAGAGAAGAAGATGAAGGACATAATCCTGGGATGGATTTATGAATAGATGTAGAAGTTGTTAAAGAATTCCAATTGAAATTATTCTCATTTGTACTACTGTTAATATTGCTATTGTTGTTGGAGGTGAGTAACTCACCAGACGATTTATTCTTATTATTACTATTATTATTATTATTATTACCATTGTTCAAATATGATGAATTCATTTTCCCTCGACTTCTTGATGACAGTGTTGAATTCATCTCATTGTCAACCTCTGTCTGATTGTTACTGCGTGATGGTATCATTGAGAAGGTTGATTGGCTTTTCTCTAGTGAATCAATAGTGTGATTTGTTTGGTTTTGTGATGTATCGTAGGTTTCGGGTGCACCACCAATCGACGCTAACGATGAAGGCCATAATGAAGATAACATTGGAAGATGTGGGAACAGTTGGCCTAACTTCCAGAATGCATTGTTTTGATCTAATGGAAACAAAGACAGAAAAAATAAATAAAACCTTCATTGAACTTGCTGGCAAATGCTTAACTAAAGATTTGATAACCAAGGAGATCATCTTAGATAGTTCGACCTCAAAAATAACTTTTACACTGATTCAACTACATTGTTTTGTAATTTGGTGGAGCCCGCTGCTAGTCACCATCCACTAAATTACTTCAAGTTAATCCTCAGATATCGTCAAAACATCCATACTAGGAACTGACATGTCAACAAAGGCTAAACATTTCGGTCGAGTCAGTCTATGGGAAAATTAAAACTGAATTTATTATACAGTGACAAAGACTCACTGTGAAACAAAAATCCACCCCGGAGATTATGTGAAGGGAATCTGGACAAATAAATCTGAATTTGAGTTTTCGTTAAGAGGATCCAAAGAAAATTCTATCCCACTAACTTTATGTATGTATCTCTAAAAAGAGCTCATTATTTATCATTTTATTCCGTTGAGTTTCCAGTTGATCACAGGGCTTCAAGCATTACTATTGAAGTTTTTGTAGAGATGTTGTCCTTTAACGTGGTGTGGTCACTAGCTTCACGCATAACCTTCCCTCTTTTTTAGTCATTTTCTAGCCTCAAGGAGAGGTTCAGAAGTGTGCTAGTTTGGAATTGAACTCCTGACCACGTCAGTATTGGTTGGCTAGTATTCTACCACTGAACTACCAACGCACCTTAAGAGACTTTAATTTTGGTAAATCAGAATAGATCAGTGCTTTAACTAAAGTTTAGAATATTTTAATCTTCTCGACTTATAATCAATATTTGTCTTTCCTGGGACTTGGCAATGCTAGTTAAACAAACAGAATTAAGTAGGCTAACTGATTGTAACCAGCGGTTAACATCTTGACATGGTTTCAAAGGCTTTGCCAGACGTCAAGGCTACTTACTTCCCTAGCCAATCATGTGCTAAGATATTCAGCTTGTTGGCGTAATGATTGGTTAATACAATGATTAACCTTGCTGCTGCCAAGGCTTTAAAAAACACACGGAACATCTTCATCATTATTCGTCGTCGAGTTATAAGTCTGAGATTACACGACACTCAAACATATATAGAACTACAAGCAGACTAGAATATGGACACAGTGACTCAAGTGTATCGAAATAGCCTAGTAACATACCTTATATAGTCAGCTGGTTATGAATAAAGGAAAATGTATCTTTTCAAATGTGTTTTAATGGACAGACACTCATTTTGTTTATTTAATGAAGGAAGATTATACAAACATGTTTGTGTGTATGTCTGTGGAATAAAAACTATATTCATCATTTAATAGTTCCTGTGTCCTATACCGTGCCTACATGATTACTGTTCATTTGCAGTGAGTGAAAATTCCAAATGTGATTACCAAATAGGAGAAGTGGTTATTCTATTCTACTACAAGCAACATGAATACTATCATGAATTCAAGTCATTCATGGTGAACCACTTGTGCTAAAGTATTGATTCTCTGTTGATATGATAAGATAATCTGTTGTGTTTGTACAGTGATATTTATTTTACCAAAGAAAAAAAGCCTTACTTAACCAAATAACATCTAAACAAACACTCAAAATGGGATTTATCTCAGGGAACAATAAATTAAGGGAAAAAATGCATACTACTTATTTATTCCTTAAGTAGTGGTAGCTAATAAGAGAGCATGCTTTGGTCAGTTATCCTTTTTCATCAACTAATTTGACATTTTAAATGCGTGATAACATATACTACTTTTAACTGAAATGAGTAGTTGTTTATCATTCGCATCAACTAGTAGTGTTTGTCAGCCAGATTGAAGAGATCCAAACACTGGACAGACACTTATCTCGTTTAGGGCCAAGCTCCCCAGCAGTGTACCCGGTTTGACTCAACTCAGAGAGTTGAATTACTCCAAACAGCCCGATTTCTGGCTAGTTACTTGAGTAAACTGGTAATACCTTATATTAAGTCCGTAATTTGCAAATTAATTTTCAATTTACACAGTTAGTGGAAGTGAACTTCACTACAGTTCCCTTTCGAAACCCAGATATTTTAGGTTACAGTAGGTTGTCTACTTGGTACCATAAATGGTAATCAAGCGAACAAGCATAAACGCGTGACGCTGTATACTACTAACTGATTGAAATGGGTAGTTGTGATTTGAATAATTTCAGTTTTCAAAGTAAACTCTGGGGAAATTTCACCTCAAACTGCGTGAATCGCTCATCGGATCAAAATGAAAAGTGGAAAGAGGATGTTATTCTTGAGATACAATCTTCTGAATTCTGATAACAGGGTTGATAACAAAAGTCATTGCACGAAAACACCATGTGATGAATATTATCCTCACCTTGATAATAGACACTGATATCTTTTGTTTATCTAACCCCTTATTATTCGCATACTTCATGCATCCATACATCAATAGTGTACGTTTTCGGGTTCTTCTTACTGTTATTATTATTATTACTACTGTACAGACTGTTGGGTATTATGCAACCAGTGATAATCAGTTTCTTAACAAATGTCGAAAGAATTCAATATTCACTAGGCATATATATATATACATATATGTGGTAATTTTGTTAATAAATTTATGGTTTTGCACTGATAATTTAAATATATACAAATAGAGTTCGGCCAAATGGTGATATTTTAGCACTGTGATTCACATATTCGATATGCTGATAAAAAAAGACAGGTAAATTGAACTGTTTTTGTCTACACTAGTATAATTCAGTAAGTTGATTAGTAGTAGAATGAATAAAAATCAGGGCCAGATACATGCATCAGTAGATATGAATGGAATTCAATTAAACAAATTCAAGATTTTAAGGGGATCTGTACCTTGATCAAAGGTCATTCGGAAGGACTGATATAAGACTATGTTATTAAAGGGTAGAATGCTTGTCAGACAAGCACATAGTCAAGGTTTGATTACCCGTAGACTAACGCATTCTTAAACCTCACCCAGGTAGTAGTAGTAGTAGTAAGCTGCCTGGAAAAGAGAGAAAGTTGGGCATGGAAGCCCCAATCCATGAAGGAAAACACTGTCAGCACTACTGGTAATTCAAATTCCTAATTTTGAGACCTTATGTTCCACTTGGGGACGCAAGGAATGATAAAATAACCTCTAAAATGGAACTGTTTACTGATTATTTATATTGGTAATAAAAATTAATCGATTCAGATGACCAAGAAGGACTTATCTGTTAGATTACGAGTGCAAATTTCAGAGTACTAATCAACTTTATTAACTGTACAAAGCGTTGACAGTGATCTACTGACTTGTTTATAAACTTACGGAACTATAATCTTACTGTTAATCACTTAAGTCTACTCAACTAAGAAGAGTAACATTATCACTAACACCGTCATCACCCCTAATAAATAATTTACCCATACTTTTTGTGTGACTGCCAATACTTTGGTTGGTATAGAAGGATTATGAAATCTTGACCTGTTGGTTGAAAGATTTTCATGCCGCACCCTTGTGTCTAATTCGTCAACTCTGAATGAAATAGTACAAAACTTAGGATCAAGAGAGAGGATTCCTGGCTAATTGCCACACACACACACACACGGTTATACTAGAGCAATTAGAGACATTTCCTCAGTGAATCCGTGGACTTCATGTGAGATTCGGTTGTTTTGCAAGTTCTCAGTATCATAATTCATAAATCCTCGGATATTTTCTTAATCATATCAGACATATGATTCTCAAGTAAATTACCTTCGGTCTCTGTCTGACATTCAGATGAAAATCCCATCTCTTGGTCCTAGGTACTGTACTATTTCGTCTAGAGTTAAAGAATTAGACATGGAGGTGTAGTTTGAATATCTGATGACTCAGACACAGGACTTACTTCCAGCGTCTAGTGAAGACCTTGAACAATTCAAGTCTGTTGGTAGAAAACCGACTGCCTTATCCAACAAACCATAGTGTCACATCCCTACTTACTTATACTGGTAATTATATGTTGTGCTTAATTCCACTTATCTATCAAGCAATCAATCAGGAAATAGGATTATTTTTTTCCACTTTACTTAACTTCTTAGTCTGATCACTTTGGTTTAAATTGACAAGCATACACTACCAACTACTCACCTCCAATTAATAGTCTAGATCTACATGCATTTATGCTTGCCTTTCTGATTGACACATGTTTTTGTTGTTGTTTTTTAAATCAAACAGAGCATATCTTGTGATCTGAATTTTTATCTGGGACTGTGTAATTTGCAAATAACAGATATGATTGAACATTATCTCATTATACAATTAATCCTATAAATTCATGTGTAACTGAATCATTCACATAATGATACGCCTATTTACTGGGCTTTGGTTTTCAGGAGAACATAATATATTTATCCCAGCCTTTTGAAAGACGAAAACTGTAGCGCGACCATTCTGGAGTCTTTTCCTCCAGAAATCATTCGTGGACAACTCAAGTGCTCCTAAAACTCAAATAGCTAGTAGTAAGTCATCTGGAAAAGACGGAAGGTTGGGTATGAGGCTGTAAACCGCATCCCGTAAAATCAACACCAGTAATAAAATTTCAGAGTTCAGAGTTTGAAGTCCTACTCAGAAAGCGAAGGAATAATGAAAACGTTACTATTTCATAAATTTGAAAAAAGGAAACAGAAACTGTGGAAATTGTTGATGAGTTAGTTTCAATCACTGATTAACTATATATCTCATGATACTAATCCTAAACTACGAGATCATATATTTCGTAATAAACAAATTGTGATTAAATAACGATTTTGATTAAGCGAATGTGTATCGATCATTATATTTTGACTATTTACCATTTAATATTTAACATTCCAACGCTATTAGTCGGATGAACTTGAGAGGGGAAAAAGCGGATAGAATGATCATTTTCACCACTAAGCAGTATTGACTACTGGGTCACTGAAAAACGAATGAGTTATGAAGGCATACTAATTGAACTTCATACTTGATTTGATCAATCCAAAAGCGGTTGTAGTTTTAGTCTGTTT